TTTTTTTTTTTTTTTTTCTAGGATGAGACTGAGCCAACTAGATGTTTTTCACATACTACCAGGCATTTGCTTCCTCATAAATAATCACACTTAATTGCATCAGATGTTTTAACTTTCTAATTTAACCACTCAGATATTGAAGTTACAGTGTGCTGACTGAATGTTGTCCTTGTTTTCCATATCATTCTAGTAGTAGAATTATGATGAGATATAATGTTTTCATAAAGATTTGCCTTAAGCCAAATGAGTAAGATATCTTTGTATCATATTTTGATCTATTAAGGAAGTATTTACAATACTGCTAGATTAATTTGTATTCTGATCTCAAATTTTAAATAGCCAGATCTTAACCATACTATCTCCCTGGATCCTACTATACTTTTGATTTATAAAATACTAAATTATACTTTATTGAAGAAGTTAAAACAAATTTATATAGATATACACATAATACACTCAACACGTGCTGTTTAGAAATTGGGGATGGCAAATGTTTCTTAGAATTCAATTTGTTGGCAGAAAGCTTTCATTTTTGAGATTTTTTTTATAGTTATTAATAACATTAATATTTATGCAATGGTATGTATAAAACACACTTTATTTTTAAGGGAGCTCTTGTGAGTGCCTTGGCTGATGACACCTTACACTTATGGAATTTACGTCAGAAGAGGCCTGCCATACTACATTCACTTAAATTTTGCAGAGAAAGGTAAGAATTCTATCATCCTATATAGAATATTTGCTTTTTAATTTTGATGCATTTTCTTTAAATTTTTGTTTGATTTTTGTTTGATCATGATTAACTTTTATGTGAAATTTAAAAAAATTTAAAACTTCAAAGAATATACAGTAAAAGCAAGATTCCTTCCTTTTCAGACCTATCTTCTTTTCCAGAGGCAGCCACATATATTTCTTTTATGTCCTTATAGAAATGAATATAGCCTGTGTATAAAAGCAAAAAAAAAAAAAACCCAAAAAGCAAAAAATTCTGTGTGGCTCTTTTTTTTCCACAAAATTGAAGCCACTGCATAGTCTTTTTGTAACTCTTTTCACAGTGTATCTAATAGATCATCTAATATCAATCAGTACATTCAAATCTTGTATAGTTATTTTTTAAAACTACATACTATTTTGTTGTATAGAAGTACTATAATTTATATTAGTCTCTTCATTAGTGGGCATTTATTTCATTTCTAGTTTATTTTGTTTTATTGTGGAGTTATGTTGAATTTATGTCTGTCTACATGTACAAGTACATCTACAAGATTGTAAAAGTGGAACACAGACAGATCTCTTAATACAACTTGTGAACTTTGGTCATTGAGTAAAAGGCCTTATTTTCACTTTTTAACATTTTTTTTAAGGGTAGGAAATGTTTATTGAAGGGATAGTTCCTGAGAGGTAGGAGGGGCCCCAGATGGGTAGCCGAGGACCCCACTTTACAAGGATGTTTTGTAGAACAAAAACCATGTGAGTACAATGTGGGTTAAAGCTCAGAACAACCAATAAGGTCACAAGGATAGTGGGGGAATAAGTCATGTAACAAGGGTGCGTGGAAAGAACAAAGACTTTTTCTGGAAAATGATGGGTCTGTAGGTCTTATTTACCCACCAGGGTGTCTAATGTCTATTTGGACTTCATTAGGTCTAATGTTACTGCTTATCTTGTCCTTTGGGAAAGTATACCCTGGTCATTTCGTCTTTATTTTGAGACCTGGTCTCCAATAGATGCATCTCTGGCCACAGTTGTTATGTGTTTTCGCCTTCTGTGCACTGACTCTGTCCAGGGCCCAGCCCTACCTGACTGCCTATAATATTTCTACCTAACTTGGCTGTTTGTAATACTGCCAGGGACCTAAGTGTGTGCATCTTATTTCACCCATTTTTGGTTGAGCCTCCCTCCATACTCTGTGTGTCAGGCATCTTACTTTTCATTTGGTCACAGCATCCACAGGGTCTGGCTTTGTCCTAGTGTTTCTGGCACCCAGATTCAAACACCTAGCTTCGATTGCCCACCACTGACCAGATCAAAGCAGGCCATTTCTTTGGGTAAAAGGAGAAGGGTTTTACTCAAAGCTGGCTCCAAGGAGACAGCAGACCCATTAACCTGAGGTCACTGTCTCCAGCATCCAGGCATGTGGGGTCTTCTTCAATGAGGGACAGCATCTGGGCCCATCTCCTGCTCTTGCCTGAGGGAATCCACATTTGTTTTTAAAGTATTGTCTTCCATGTTATTATATGAAGTGTGATAAAAATAAAAGGAATGTTTATTAGCCACATTTCATATTATGTATATATCATATTATGTAGTCAGTATTGTTGTTATATTTTTGTTTGGTTTGGTTTGGTATCGGGGATAGAACTCAGGGCCTTGTGCTTGTGAGGCAGGTGGCAGAACCACTGAGCTAAATCCCAGCTATGTAGTTGGTATTGAAGGCATAATCTATTTTGTTTTCATCCAAGCATGAGGCCATGTTTCTGGTTTAAGAAGTGTAAGTTAGTGTGTCAGATTGTACATACAGGTAGGTCTATTGGCCTGGGTTTCTACCCCCATAGTCCTCCAAATTATTAAGCTAAAGAGGCCACTGGAAATATAGCAGTTCAGACTTTACCAGCCAGTGCCAGGGAGTGTCTGTGTGATGGATGAGATGTGGAGGGTGGAGAGGCATTAAAGACCAGACCTGGCAGTCAGTGACCATTTGCTTTTGCTCCATCTCTTGTGTGGGAAAATAAATCAGCTAAGTGACTTCAGTTGAATCATATTTCTATTTTTAGGAGAAGTACAGAAGTGAAGGGAAAGTTATTAGGAGAGAATAGTGGAATAGGGGAAGAAAACCAAGCAAAAGTTCAGGGTTCAATTGTTTTCCACCTTTGGGGAATCAAGCCAGCCTCTCAACTCTAGGCAGAGTTTCTTAATTTGTTTATCAGTGGGGTCTCAGGTGGAAGGTCTATATCAGATTCAAATGCCAAAGAGCATATGGAGGTGGGCATTGGTATCTTGGTCCTAGTATGCAACTCTTGACATACTACCTGCTGGAAAAGTAACTGGAGATCTAATATAGTAGTTGTTAAAGTGGAGTGATTTTGCACCCTTAGAGGGCATTTGGCAATGTCTGGAGACATTTTTCATTGTCTCGAGTGTGGGAGAGGGAGTAGTGCTTTTGCCATCTAGTGGGCAAAGGCCAGGAATTTTGCTACATATGATACAATGAACTAAATAGTGCCCATAGCAAAGAGTTACCTGGTTCAGGATATTTATAGTATCAAAGTTAACAAACCCTGAACTTTAGCACATTAAAATGATGTTATTTGGTCAGTGAAGTGATGTAAAAATTCTGTTTAACACTCTCAATGGAGAGATTCTGCCATGAGCTAGAGTTCTGGCAAAAGATTTATCTTTGGTACCTTATTTACTAGTGACTTGTCCTGATTTCTTACTGGGCACAGGAATGTGTTCCAGGTTCATGAATCTACTCACTATAGGTTATCATGGTAAAATCTTCATGGGGAAAGGATCAAACTTCAAGCATTCTTAAAAAGCAGGAGTTGACAGTGGTCAGAAATGGAGCATATCTCCTCAGTAATACCCGTAAATGTGGACTTCAAGAAATTCTGGGAAATATGCATGGGGAGTAGAAATCCAGTCTATAAGGTTCATGTAGACAAATTTTGCCAACCAAAAGGCACCTTTGTACAAGGTGCAGAAAAGTTACTCTTCTTTGTAGTGTGTGAAACCTCAGTGTTGTCCACCATTCCCCTTCTTGTTTCAGTGCTCTTTCAGGGAACAGCCTGCCTAGTTGTATGCAGTGGTCCTAAAAGTTACAAATGAAATGAGCTGATAGATTTCTCAATTTTGAGTCCTGTATTATGGTTATCTAGCTGACCAGCAGAAGCTAATTGTCTCAGTTTTAAGTTCAACTTCCTTTTGACTTTCATTAGGGCAGTAGTAAACAAGGACCTGTATTAGCAGGAGTAACTAGCTCTTGACTAACTCCTCTGGGTGAGATTCTCTAGGATGGCTCCAAGCTTATTTGGCATCTCTGGAAGTTAAAATGCCAAGAAATGGGTCCTGGCCCCACATGGATAAACCCTTTTTTTTCCCCAGTCTTTCCTAAAGACTGAATATTTCTTCAAATGGCTGAAATGATAGAGGTTGCATTTGGAAGAGTCCAGGTTTCCTTAGCTCTTGGATCAAGATAGGGAAGGGTAGGTGGAATAAAGGTTTTCCCCAAACTCTGGGAACCTGCCTGTAGCATCAGTACTTGTTCTGCATCTCAGCTCTGAGCCATTTATTATTTTCTGAGGCATTTATTATACTCCTGTAAATATGCATGAATATACCCTGCATTCCCTGGTAGAAACTTTCTGCCAGAGTAGCTTTCCCTGGCAAGAGCAGAGGAAAGTCTCTTGTCATTCTCTGCTTATTCTTCCATGGTTCATTTGTGAGACTCCACATTTCTTTTCTTTGTACAGTGTTTATGTTCTGTACCAGGCCAGGGAGTAGTCTGGCTATGTTGTGGTAACAATTATTCTCAGAATCTCAATGACTTAATCTGATTTATTTTTGCTTACTCTATCTGTCCTTTGTGGGCTTGCTGTTAACACTATTCCTTTTCATTGTTATCTTTATTCAGGATTTCTGCCTGAGGAACCAGCAGTCTTTAAAATATTGCCAGTCCCTATAGCAGAGGAAAGAAGAGAATGTGCTGAAGCACATATTGACTCTTAAAATGTCTGCTTGGAAATAACACGCGTCTCTTCCAGTCTTATTCTAAGGGGCAGAGCATACCATATGGCCATCTCTAATTTCAGTCACATATCCAGGAAAAGAGAAGACTGGAATATTTGTGAATAGTCATAGTAGCTACCTCCGTGCTTACTTTTATTGCTGACATAGAATATAGTAAGCAGTAATCTAGTTAGTTTACCCTCATTTCAGAGTGGATTTGGGCTAACTTAAATTACTGTGTTTCATTGTTATACCATTCACATTTTTACTTCTAAAACTAGGAAAAGAAGGAAAAAAATGAAAAGTTTACAAAGCCACTTCATAAATTTCTAAACAATTGTTAAATTTAAGTATTTTACACATTTTTCTATTTTTATAAATAGTTAGATTTATTGTGGTAGAAATTTCTATAATAGAAATTATATGTAGTGATTTAAATTATATTTTTTCATAATGTGTACCTCTTTTCTGGTTTTATTTTTTTAAATCGGGTAAAGTACACAAAAATTTAACATCTCAGTTTTAAATATACATACAGTTCAATAGTGTTAAGTACATCCATATTATCGTGCAACTCCAAATTTTGGTTATATTGTTATGTGTATTTTTATACCACTTAAAAATATATGAATTACAGTCTCAAGTTTAAGTCTGAACTTGAGTAAATTACTTCACTGTTCTGTGTGATGGTTTTCTGTTTTATAGAAAATTTCCTCTGAGTCTTAAACCAGTTTTACTATTTCATTTCTCTTACATATCAAAACATTACCTCTCCCATTTACTATCTGTATTATTATAGAATGATGATTATATGTAGTTTGATGCTGGCTACGGAGTACATATTTGATAGTACACAGGATTTTGGTCAAGGCTAGGACAAGTTTAGCTTCCCATATGCCTAAAAAAATACTTGTTCATAGTAAAATACTATTTCAATTTACATAAGATGATTTTGATTTGATGGATAATACAAACTTAGCA